AAGAATTTGGGGGCATACATTCAGACTCATCTACAAATATACTAATTGAAATTAAGTTGGACCATTTAGGTGGGTAAATTTCATGGTGTGTGAATCATACCTCAGTAAGTCTGTGTAAAAGAGAAGGGAAGAGAACGCTACAAAAGGCTACTTTCATGAAGTGATAGAGAAAACAGGGAGTTCTGTGTTCCATAACTTCAAGCCACCATAATCACTCCTCCCCTAGGGGAATCACAGTACATTGAAGCACAGAGAATTTTCTGGAAAGCTCTACCACAAAGAACCGGCATTAGCCCACTGTTTCTCAGTTTACTGGGCCATGAACCTTCAGGAAAGTTGCCCAATATCTCGACATGACCAGAATGATTCTCGATAAAAAGGTGTCAAGGAATGGGGCCCAAAGTCCAATGGGCTCTATTAATACATCCATTGAGCAACTAGAATAGGCGTGAACACAAGAATTCAGTAGTATTTTTATTGTCCAGGGAGGTATTTCAGTGTGAGAATTTTTTTTAAAGGTAGCACTAAAGAGTGGTGGAGTGGATTAATAAATACCCAGCGTAGGGTCACATGTACAAGTAAGATGAAAGCTAATTTTATGTCATTGCCCCTAGCAGGGTTAATAATGAGACAACCTAGACCTACCTACCTTTCAGGACACAGAAAACTTCCTGCTGACAGAAGATACGGCAAGAGGGCAGTCTGCAGTCTCCCTGGGACATCTTGGTCGTCTTGGTCGACACTGTGAAAGGCCCTTCCTGGTCCTTACCTGGTACTAAGAGGTGAAGGCATGGTGCCCCTGGAGAAGCAAGGGTTATGTACACAAGTGCAAAGTGAGCTACTCGGTGGCAGAGTGCATAGGCAGCTCGCCCAAGGCCGGTGTTCAATCCCACGCGCGTAGGCAGCGCGTCCAAGGCCCGTGTTCAATCCCAAGCACCGCAAGGAAGACAGAGAGAACATCGGCCTGGGGAAAGGCAAGCAGTTTCCTGAACCATTCAAGATTCAAAAGGTTTTTCTAAGAGTTCTAAATGAAGGAAGAGTTACTACATAAAACCTATAGGAATACTAGAGTCCAACAGGACACTCCAGGAATTTATAAATGGAAAGACTGATTTATAATTGAGTACATTTAAGACTGTTTATTACTTATGATAGTATATGGCTAATCACAGCAGAAGATTCCCGGGTTAAAAGTACTCTTAACGATGGATTTTAAAGAGTGAGGTCTTTAACTAAGGTCTTACTGCATAAACCCTGGTCACTGCAGAAGGGCACGGACATTAAGCAATGCTGATCAGAAAATCAGACCTGGGCCCCACCCCACACCTACTGCAGCAGATTTTAACTGGGCTCTGAGGGACTTATGAATGCTAACCTTAAGGAGTATTGCTTTCAAACAGTGAAACATTGTTAAATATTAACAGTTAACAGTATTAACATTTAACTTGTCAGAACTGAAGCTTGCTAGTTCCCCTCAAGACAATAAATAAATATTAATAGCAAGCCTCCCTCCTTTCTTATAGCTTTAATTTCTGTGGTTTTAGCTACCTGTGGTCAACCAACATCTGACATTAAATGGAAAATTCCAGAAATAAGTAAACTGTGCCTAACTCATAAATACAATCCTATCACAGATACAAATAGTACTGCCATAGTTTAGGCCTAAATGTCTTTCAAAGAACCACCAATAAAAGAGTTGGTCTTTACCTTGGAGCTATGGAAGATGGCTGCAACCTTTAAGACTTGGGCCTATAGGGAGATTGTAGCCTTTGAAGGGGCTCTAGAATGTCCTTCTCCTTGGCCATCACAAGGTGAACACTTCACCCTAGGACACATTTCTCTCACCATGGTGTACTATGTTTCCATGGGCCCCAAAGAATGGAGACAAGGAACTATGGAAGGGAACCTCTGGATCCATGAGCTAAAATAAGGCTTTACTCTTTTTAACTGATTCCCCCAAGTTTACAAACAGTGAAAGAAAGTGATAACTCAGCTACTATCTGTGACTCAACTATCCTCTAGGGATCTTGGGCTGCACTCCTAAGCATTAGAAGAACTCTCAGACTCCTGTATTGTTCTCTTGAGTCATCCTGACTATCCCATACTTTTTCTTTCATCATTCCATTTTTTTTCATTATCTCATCAGCTACTCTTCTCTTACATTTGTTACAGTTGCTGTGACAAAATGGCCGCTGAAGCCACTCAGAAGAGGAAGGATTTATTCTTGGCTCCTGGCTTGAGAGGATACAGTCTGGAAGAACAGCTCCCTGCTACAAGAGCAGGAGACATCTGGTTACATTATATCAAGAAGCAGAGAAAACTGCAGCAGGAACCAGGTCTACACACTAACCCATAAGGCTTACCTGCTACCAGTAACCTACTTCTTGTTCCCTGAATCTCCCAATGCAATGACATCAGCTAGGGATCATGTGCTTAAACACATGAGCCAAATTGTAGCCATTAGTTTCAACCTACATTGGGGAGAACAGACTAAGAAAACAGACTGACACCTCAAACATTGGTTGAATGAGAGGGTCTTGTAAAAAGCCATCAATTCCTTGAAATTCCACCCCACTTAAGTGCTAAACAACTCCTTGAGCTTGTGTTAGCCATCATGGCCATGACTAGCAAAGCCAAGTGCTCTGGACTAGCACCAAAATGGAGAGAAATCATGTGTAGGTGACTTAAAGTCCCATTTATACCATCAGGATTTTCTTTCCTCCCTGATATCAGGTTTCAGCCTGAAGCATCCTGAGTTCACCCCTGATGCCCACAGACTAGCAATGTTCCTAAAGAAGTCCCTGCCCCTTTGGGCAGGGAGGCAGACCTCCCAAAATGTCAACTAGCCACCTCCCAACCAAACCAATCCTTTTCTTACTATTTAACTCCCACTAGCCTCAAGGGGGAACAAAGCCCATTTAGTTGGAAACAAGGAAGGCGAATACTGTTGAAAAAAAATTCAAACCTCCATAGAAAAGGTTCAGGCACTGATAGCTTCAGGAATAAGAAAAGACACTGGATCATTTCCACCTGCATATATGATTCTTGACTTATAACGCCCTGTAAATTTAAAATACTATACTTGAATAGCATATAACACATTCTACAGAGCATCGTTGCAATTCAGTACACTGTGGAATGTTAGCCTTATTTTCTCATGACCATGCTTGCTGCCTCAGGCCAGAAACATGACAGAATATGATAGGACATCCCTAACCCAGGAAACATTCAAAATCCAAAGTAGGGTTTCTACTGAATGTATACTGTTTACCTATCATCATAAAGTTGTAAACTTAAAAGTCTGGGTAGGGATGATAAACACAGTACTCACTCATGAAACTCTCAAAAAATTTAAATTAAAAATTGAGCTAAACTATCATATCATGTACCCTCTGTAGTGTATTCTATGGATTACAAGCAAATGCAGACTATGGAAACAAATCTGGATGCTCTGAGTGGCTGCACCAACTGTCAGATTTGCCTTTCAGTGAGTGCCCTGCACTGGTTGAAGCTGGAATCCCGGGGCCTAGGCCAACTCCTTTTTTAAATATGATGAAATAGACAAGATGGCTCATACAAAGGCCTCTTATGACACACTCTCCCAGACCTCCCAGAGTCCAAAGGGCTCAGACTGCTTCCACACCACCCCTCATTTTGCTGTTGTCCCTCTAGTTAGGCAGTAACTCCATCAGATGAAGATTGCCAACCTTTTACCCTAATACCCCAAAGCCCACGTGGTTACAAGGCTCCGACGCAGCATCTCTTCTCTAGCTTCATGTCTATTAAGAATCAGCCATGGGAGCTGGTGAGATGATTCATCAAATAAAGGCACTTGCCACCCAGCATAGCAACCTGGGCTCAATCCACAGGTCCCTCCCACACAGTGAAAGAAAATGACGTACGTTGTCCTGTGACCACCACATATGGTCTGTGCCCCACCCCCACAAATAACATGTATACATTGAAAAACAGTTTTAAAAGAATCTACAACAAGCCTCACCGTGATGGAGGATTCCATTTCTCAGATCCAGCGAGAGCCCAGTGGTGTCTGAAGATATGCACTGAGAAGTATGTGCTCCTATGTCATGCCCCGGGACCCACCCCACACCCTTTATTCTTGGTATCATTAGACCTCAGTCTCTCAAGTCTAAGATGGAGTGTGTAACTGTGCTAGTCCAAGAAGGCTTCCTAAGACATTCTTTCTAAGTCACAAATATGAGACTGCTTGGTTTCTGTGGAACCACAAGGGTTGAAAGTCAGTGAATTCAGACTGTCGCCTAAATGTCACCTAATTCTAAAATTCAAAAGATGCACTGTTCTCTGAAATTTTAGAAGCCCAGTTCTGGGTGGTAATTCCATGACTGTGAGAAGAGTGACTGGTGATGGAAATCCTTAAGAGTGGGTTTAGGAACAAAAATAGCTCACATTTTAATTCTACCAATCTGGCATTTCTCCTACCCCTCCACACTGGTAGTGAAACTGCCATTAACTCCATCTGCCGTCATCTTCTTACCATCACTCTACAATCCCCAACCCTGCCAGGAGGACCTGTAATCCCCGTTTTCTAGCCCAGACACAGGGAGGGGCCAGAGGCACAACAGGAGTTAACCCCAAGTCCACACAGGGGCCTCACACCTACCCCCCAATTAAGTGCACAGTTGTGTGGAACCCTAAATGGGAAGTGTCACTTACCACCTTTTCTTCTCAGGACTGATGGAAAGGAAAACCCCAATAATCCCACTCCCCACCCCACCATCACCCCCACACTCACCCCATTTGCTAAACACAGAGGGTCTGGGCTAAAAGGGAATGCATAGGGTCGTCACCAAAACCAACCTACCAAACAAACAAAATCCAGCCCAGCCAACACTCCTGAAAGCAAAGAAACAGGAACATGCAGGAAATACAGGCCTGAGGGCCCTGGCTACCAACAGGTCAAAATCCCTGCAGTCATTCACTACATTCCAGATTCAGACAGAACAAAAATGAAAAACACTCACTTTTTACCCACTGGTCCAGGAATGAAACTATTTGCTAATTCGGACAGCAATGTCTCCAGCCAGTAGCTGCCTGGCGAATGTTCGGTCCAGCCTCTTATCAATACACTGGCAGTGGCTCCTGCCGTCAACAGAAAAATGGCAGCCGATGAGAAGGACAGTCAGAATGTAAACAGGTGATCTGGCTGTCTCTCTGAAGATCTACGTCACAGGATAACAAACAGCCGCTACGCTCATGAGAGCAATTTGTTGAACTCAATCAAAAACATAAAACCGACCACAAAATCTCTATCACTCAATTTTAATTAATTGCTATTTTCTTTTAGTGAAATAAGATGTTTTAAGGATAACGATACACAGTGAGAATGTGTATTTATCCCAGGCTCCTATATTAGACTACTCTCCATAAAGGTTAAAAGAGGACCAGGCCGACCTTAGATCCTATTTTTAACAGAGAAAAAAGGTCCAGTTACCCCAGATGCCCGCGTCTGCTCACAGACCAAGCTGGTTCATACAACCACTGCCCACCACTTGGCTGAGAGCAGACGCTACGTCTCCACGTTCCAGTTACAGGTTTACGTGGGTACAGTTACTACTTGTTACATAATATTTAAAAAAACCCGAGATTAAAAATGGTTACATAAAACTATCCTACAGCTGCGGTCCACCCAAGCTCGCGCGATCCCGGACCGCAGGCGAGTCGGTAGGCGAGCCGGCAAGCGAGCCAGCAGCTGGTAGCGCAACAGCGCGCCGAGCCCGCGGCCATTCGTGCTCGCGAGCTCGCCGGAGCTGCTCACCACTCGGACCTTTGCAGATCTCGGGAGGCGAACCCTTTCCAAACGACCACCGAGACTTGAGCACGTCTCCTCTTATCCCCAGACCCCCGGAGCGTTGCGGATGACGGAGCCCACCTGCGTACCTGCAGAGCCGCAAGCACAGCCTTCACCGCACGGGGTCGCTGCGTGCGCGCCACCGGCTGGCGGACAGCTCCCGAACCCGGCAGTGCCCAGCGCGTGGACAGCGCTCTGCATGGACAGCGCTCGGCCGCGCGGCTCGCTCGCTCGGGTTCGCCACGGCTCCGCCCAGCTAAGGGGCCCACAGCGCAGGGGGCGGGGGGGAGGAGGACTCGGGGGGGGGGGGGGCTGAGAAGCGCAGAGGCCGGACAGGCACGCGCCGATGCGCGGCAACGCGCTCACGCGCGCAGCAACACACGGCGACACGCGCCGACACGCGGCAACATGCGCCAGACACACGAGCTACATGCGCTAACACAGGGCCGGCAAGCTCGGAAAAGGATGAATGCGGCCGGCACGCGCCAACATAGGCCGGCACGCGCCAACATAGGCCGGCACGCGCCAACACAGGCTGGCACGCGCCGGCACGCGCCAACATAAACCGACACGCGCCGGCACGCGCCAACATAAACCGGCATGCGCCAACATAAACCGGCACGCGCCAACATAAACCGGCACGCGCCAACACGGCTGACAGGCGCCCACACGCACAGACACACGCAGACACGCGCCAACACGCTAAGCGAAGCAATGCAATCTCTCGGGAGGTCATCCCGGCAAGGGTGCCATCCCCCCCCCCCAAAACATGCCCGCTGGACCCACCCCCATCAGCGCACAGGTGCCAGGAGGCTTGTCCAGCCGCGCCGGTCCCTGGTCCTCCAATGCTCTCCTCAGCTTCCAGGGGACTGACTGGGCACCCCTGACGACCGGGAGGACGAGGGACGCGGCTGGTCCTTGCGCACTACGGGAGCCCCAGGACCAAACCCATGTGACGCAGCCACGCCCCGAGGCCCAGCGGGGGCCCTCTGCTGCCCAATCCCCGGATCCCTGGTTCTCATGGCAACCCTGAAGAACCTCTTGCTCCCAGCTTCTCGTCCTCCCCTCCCCCACATCCCCCTTCGCTCCGATGGGCAAGAACAGGAACGCAGCCCGCAGATCTCATGACACCAAAAGTCCACCATGTCCACTGGTTAAAACCACATACAGAGCTCAGAAATGGGTGGTGAGACTACCAGAAGCCAGTAATGCCACCAGTAACACCATTTTCTTGACCTGCGAAAGGAGGGGAGTTCTGAGCGACTACAGCCAGACTACCTCGGTAACCAGAATAATTTTTATCTCAAATCCTTCCCCAAAATGTCAAAGCAGGAACACTGAAAAGGAGAGAGGCTCCTTTTGAAACAACAAGCATGTCATTATTATCTCAGTGAGAAAGTGTGACTCCATATATAGAGTTAGCTAAGAAAATAATATTCTATAGCAAGCATCTGTTATGCACTAGCCTCTCTCTCTCTCTCTCTCTCTCTCTCTCTCTCTCTCTCTCTCTCACACACACACACACACACGACTGCATCAAAAGAAGCAACAGTAAGGTTTGGAAATGCTTATGGTTTTACACACACACACACACACACACACACACACACACACACACACACACACACACACACACAGAGCTTCTTAGTATCCTCAGGAGATTGGTTCCAGAACCCTACAAGTATCAAAATCCAGATACTCAAGTCCCCTCTATAAAACAATTTCTACAGTCTATGAACACCCTCACACACTTTAAATCTCCCCTAGATTTATAATGTCTGCCACAATTTAATGCTTATAAATAGTTGCCATAGTATATTATTTATACATAATGACATGAAAAAAGTCTGAGCATGTTCAACACAGAAGCAATTTTCTGACTCAGTGTTGACTCAACTTGCAGAACCCATAAAATACAGAGCACAAAACACACACACACACACACACACACACACACACACACACACACACACACACACACACACACTACAGAAAGCAAAAGAGAAGGTTAGAAGAGATTGTGACAGAGGAAGCAGTAGATTTTACACTCTCCTCTAACAAAGAGCATGGACAGATAGAAATTGTAGATGGCAATATATTAACAGTGGCAAAACCTTCAACAGGTTTGGAAACTGTGGTATACTGTACAGTCTTTACATCTGCAAAGGGAGAAAGAAGCTTTGAAAACTGTATCTAGGCACTTTTCTGAGGCAAAACAGAAAAGTTATACCAAGGCAAGCAGCCTTGGAGGTCAGCTCAGGTCCCTAAGTACTACAGAAAGAGTATGGGGAAACGGAAGACGCTCCCTCAGAAGCAGAGACCTCCAGGTAGTCATGCTACAGAATTCTTATACTATAAAGTCAATCAAACAAAAGCAGGTTTGAGGCAGTTCTGAGAATGGCCACCAGCAGTGCTAAGCCCAAATCAAAGACAACAAGCCTGTCAGTCTGGCTTGCTCTAGAAAGCATGCTATTTCATACTGGCTACAGCCTGAAAATGTAACTTTGACTAGGCACTGCTTCAGCAGAGATGCTAGACAAAGCAAACACCAGGCACGGAATGACGATCAGAAGTCAACCTTGAGATCGATGAAGTCAAGCACAGGTGCAGAGAGATCAAAGAACGCACTTAAGCTCATGCCCAGGCTTGGAGCACAGTCCAGGGAGGGAAAAATCTGAGTTCCAGGATAATGTCCAGTTTGGACAGTCAACTCACATAGGTGGCTTAGGTGTCTCTGGGCTACCCTGCTCTGCTGCTCAAAGCCGGGAGGGGGTTATGATGGACCGACACACTTCTTTGCCTGAACATGACACCTACCCTGTAGTCTCCTAGTCTAGAAGGGCATGTCACATAGGACAAAGAGTTCGATCCCTAATCTTCTTGGTGAAGAATTTTTTTTTTAAAAAGCAAAGGGGAAATGGTCCAAGGCTGGGTGAAGAGGAACCTTCTAACCTACTGGACACCTGTTTATGCTCAGCTGTGACATCATAGCCAGCTAATAAGAGGTAACTGACTTATCACATGCTGAAGAGCTGAAATCTAACTGGAAAACAGATGAAACTTGATATGTGCAGTCCAAAAGCTCTCACAAGTTAGAAGAACCATTACTTCTGCAAATAGAGAAAAGGCAGATTCCAAACCAAGAAGTACTGGACATCTTAAGGAAGTTAGACCTATGGTTCTCAGACCCTCCTCAACAGACTACCAGAAGCAGTGGGGCAAGTCATTGGACAGGGGTCAGCAGGCTTAGGTAAGCCTTTGGACTGAGACTAAGACAGTCTAAATGGGTCTAGTGGAAACTCCCAAGAACCATTCCCTACAGAGCCATGGAGAACTCTGAGGATATGGGCATCAGGGGGGCCTCGCATACCAAGGCTCGGTTACAGTCACCATCCACAGGCTTCTCAGCCACCTGCTTCTCAAGTGGAAGGACAGACAGGGCCTCAGAGGCCCACACAATGCTGCTAAAATGGGAAAGGGGCCCCTTCAGCAGAGACAGAAGTCACTCCTGCTCCCCAGTGTGGGCCTCAGCCTCCCTAGGACCTGTCCACCATCTTGCCTCACCATCACCGCTCCAGATCTTCTTCCTTCACCACCCTGGTGGCCTACAGCGTGCACGGGAACTGCTGCCCAGTCTACTCTGTCCACATAGGCGTCAGCGGAGCACTAGCCGGCTGACAGCAAGAGGTACCAATGAGAGAGACATCCTTGGACCCCGGCTTTCCCAGCTTCATACTCAGTCCAACTCAGCACTGTTGACCCCAGCTGCACTCAGGTTCACGGTGGCTCATTAGGCCTCCTGCTTCCTACCCATCTCTCCAGGTTCACACTACTTCCCCATCAAAAGTCAGATGCAAAGAAGCCAAACCAAGCAAAATGACATAAAAAGTAAGATAGAAGAAATTATGCATGCAAATGTAGTTTCTAAATGAGATAAAAGGATATTGCATGATGGCAATTGAATGCTGTCCTATTATGTTAAGAGAGCACTTGCTTGCTCTGGTGAACTGCTAAAGCAAATCCATCACTCTGCTGTGGGATTCGGTACTGCAGCGGGGAGACCTGAACCTAAGACCGCTCTAAACACTACTGCAAAATACAATCAGAGCACTAAGTCCTGAATCCAATTCTCAATACAGCAACAAATAAAAGAAAAAAATAAAGTCCTTCAAACTTAAAAATGAAAATATGAACAAAAGCTAATAGGGAAGTTAAAGATAAAATTAAGGCTATCATCCCAAACCTAAAGCCACACAACAGATACAGGTTTGGAAATCAAAATTTCATTAGAGCACTTACCTCTCCTGAGTGAAGCCTTGGGTTCAGCCACCTGAGATCAAGTTCAGAAGGCTAAAATCTGAATAACCACTCTTGGAAAAATAAAGTCACATAATTGATTCAACTATCACAGAATTGATTCAACTATCCAATACTTAAAAAAATGTTGCTCTCTGCTTGAAAGAGTCCTCAACTTACCCTGCTAGATGTATGCAGATCTTACCAGGTCACATCTCCAAAGAAACTCAGCAAATAAAAGAGGATCCTTAAAAGTTTCCAGACACAAGAAGGAAGCCAAACCACACCCCCCAACACACACACTTTGATATTCTTTCATACAAAAAAAATCAAATGAGTTTCATTCTCAGCTTCTGGATGCCCTAAAACAGTAGCTGGGTTCAACTACTGGAGGAAAACCTAACTGACATTGAGAAATTCATTCAACAAATGGGACTAGAATAAGGACATTTCATACATACAAGGTACCTTGTTTGTGGAAAGCTGATGCATAGTGCTCCCCATTAGATTTAATAAACCAAGAAGTTAAAAAAAAAAAAAGAGATCCATGAGAAAAGCCAAGACCATGTTAAGGATAGTGAAGGAAGACACAGAATTAGCAATGTACAATGTGCAGAGAGTCCCCAGTGATGGCAGGCATGGGCAAAAGACACCCACGAGACCGCTTGCAAAAGAACACTGAGAGATCACCTGCTGCAACTGAAATGTGCAATTTGTGACATCTGGGAGCAAGTAGAGGCGACAACTACAAAAGACAAAACAACAAAAAAACCTAGGCAGAAACAACTGCAGCAAAAAAGCAAAATGTCCTTTGAGTTTATAACAAAGTTTCCTCTGCAGATTACACTGGCAAACATGGGAGGGGCAGGCACTTAAGGGACTGCCCCCACTCTGCCTACTTGTTACTTGGCCAAAAAGAAACAATGAGGAGATCAGGCTACTCAGGACAAAATAAAGCAAAATCTTCACCTTCTACAGCAAAGGAAACCCCAAAAACTTGAGTTCCAGGAGGCAGACAGCAGATGAGAGGCAAATTGCCAGGGATTTCTTTGTATTATTTAGCCTCTGTTTATGAAGGTAAATGTTGGGGATTGAAGCTAAGTCTAGCTTTCTGAATAACAATTTAACTCTTTGCTTAAACTACTAATAGCTTATCTATCATTCTGGTCACATACACACACAACACACACACACACACACACACACACACACACACACACCACACCACACACCCTCACTGATCTGATAACTGAGGAATGGAGCCTGTGTCCCTCCACCCAATAATCCACACTATAACCCAGGGTGCCAGGGGACAGTGTCCCAGCCTGTGTCCACTTGCAGCCCTGCAGGCTACCAAGTGTAGAGAAGGGAGGGCCAGGCACAACTTGATATCTGGGGATCATCCAGCAAGGAAGGGAGGCACTCCTTTTATCACCTACGCCCTCCTCCTGTGCTAAATCACCACAATAAAGAGGTGCACAGCACAGGGCATAGTGTTCTCATCTCTCTAGGAACATCCTGGAGTGGTTTCTGTAAGATCCACACAATTTTCATCGAAAGAGAGCAAGCAGCTCCCTAGAACTGGCAACCAGTAGGCTCTCAGGGAAAAGTACACCACAGCCTGTGCT